AGGGGTATGCATGGAGATTGGAGACAAGGATGACCTACTATACCAGATATTCCCTGGATCCGTCCCACCATCTGGAATCTCATCCCAAAGATTGGGTCTCCCCATCCCGTCTCTCCATCTCTGAAGGCTGACCCCTCTGGGCCCCAGGGTTGGCTGCGACAGGTGGGGAGGGGGGGAGTGGGTTTGGGATCTGGCATTTTCGGGGGAAGCGGACCTGTGGTTGTTCCCGGGGGATCGGAGCAGGCAGGGTAGGTTGTCAACCACCCACTCTGACTATCCCTCAGTCCCGCTTTGTTTTCGACACCACCCTTACCCTAATACTCCCTTCTCCCCCCACCCCCGCCAACTCTCAAGGGTCTCTGCCGCACCACCATGCCGCCCCCTTCCCCCAACCCCCTCCATCCCCACCCACAGTCAAGATGAAGTGTCTCTCCTTTTGACCAAGGTTCGTTGACCCTCTTGCAGAGCTCAGAGGAAGGTTAAAGGTCACAGAGGGAACATAATGGGAAAACACAAGGATGGTCTTTGTTAAGGGGGTGGGGATGGGGATCTGATCTCCCGGTGTTGTCCATGCAAGGAGGCAAGACCAGTTCCAGGAGATGGATTCAGGCGCCTACTTCCCTAAGACCTGACCAACAAATTTCTGATCTTGAATGATGATGGAAGTCTGGACCTGATCACAGCATGTGGCTCGGTGGTTAGGACTGCTGCCTCACAGCGCTAGGGACATGGTTCAATCCCACCCTCGGGCGACTATCTGTGTGAAGTTTGCACATTCTCCCCGTGTCTGTGTGGGTTTCCTCCGGATGCTCTGGTTTCCATCCTCAGTGCAAACATGTGCAGGATATGTGGATTGACCTGGGGAAACGTGGGGTTACAGGGATAGAGAAGGGGGTGGGTCTGGGTGGGATGCTCTTTGGAGGAGTAATGTAGACTCGATGGGATGAGTGGCCTGCTTCCACAATTTAGGGACTCTATGTAAATTGTTGATCAACTTTCTGGGAGGGGTAAGGGGCTGCAGTTTTAGTCACAACCTCTACCAGTATCTTGGCAATGTTAAAGCAATGAAGTGAGTGGGTTAGTAGAGGGTGGATATCAGAATTCAGGTTTGTCACCCTTGATCCCTGGAAACGTCTCCACCTGACCTGAGCCAAACCCACTTACTTTCTTATATATATATATGGTTAAAGTCCTCTTCTTAATGTCCAGTGCTCCCTCAACAAATCCCACCAAGGTAGATTTCCTTCTCTAAAGGACCAGAAATATATTTACAACAACTGCGTTAGGCCTCCAACAGCTGGGTCTATATTTCAGATGTGCAGCGTAGGTGGGTTAGCCATGGGAATAGCAGGGTTACAGGGATAGATTGGTGGGTGGGTCTGGGTGGGATGGTCTTTGGAGGGTCAATTTGGGCTGGATGGGCCGAATGGCGTGCTTTCCACGCTGTAGTGATTCAATGATTGAATAAAACCAAGAACTGAGGATACTGGAAAACAGATAGCGCTGATGAAACTCAACAGGTCTGGCAATATCTGTGGAGAGAAGGCAGAGTCAATGGTTTTGGGTCCAGTGACCCTGCTTGTAGCAAGGAAAAGGTTGGTATTTATGCTGAAGACAGGGGCTGGGGGAAGGTAAAGGAGTAGATGACAGGTGGAGATGGAGCCCAGAGAGAAAGACTGCTAAGCAGCCCTTGTGACGACATGGCCTGGGGTGTGGGGTGGGTAAAGGACATGGGAGAATGTGCTCAGGCCCGAAAATTATTGATACTGAGTCTTGAAGGCTGGAGATGAGTCACTGTTCTTCCAGCTTGCACTGAGTTTGGCTGGGACACTGCAGCAAACCAGAGACAGAGATGTTGGCCAGGGAACAGGGTGGTACGTTAACGCAGCAGGCAACTGGAAGCTCAGGGTCTTTTTTTGCAGACAGAATGTAGATGTTCCGCAAAGCGGTCACCCAGTCTAGCTTCACTTTCCCAACATAGAGGAGACCACATTGTGAGCAGCGAATGCAATAGACTAGATTGTAGGAAGTGCAGATAAAGCGATGCTTCACCTGGAACGTGCGTTTGGGCCCTTAGTTAGTGAGGAGGGAGGAAGTAAACAGGCAGGTGTTACACCTTCTGCAGTTGCAGGGGAAGGTGCCATGGGACTGTGGGGGTGTGTTGAGAGGAGAGGAGGGTCGGACCAAGGTGTCTTGGTGGGAACTGTCCCTGTGGAAGGCTGACAAGGGAGGGGAGGGCAATATGTGTCTGGTGGTGGCATCTTGCTGGAGGTGGTGGAAATGGCAACTAATGATCCTCTGGATGTAGATGCTGGTGGGATGGTAGGTGAGGACAAGGGGGACTGTTGAGGGAAGGAAGAGAGGGGATGACGGCAGAAGTGAGGGAGATAGGTCAGACACAGCTGAGGGCCCTGTCAATATCGTGCTGGGAATCCTCAGTTGAGGAAGAAGGTGGACAATTCAGAGGCCCCCTTCTTGAATTTGGCATTATTGGAATAGATGCAACAGAAATGGAGGAACTGGGAGAATGGGAATAGAGTCTTTACAGGGAGCAGGGGGTGAGGATGTAGAGTCCAGGTAACTGTGGGAATCAGTGGGTTTGTAGTGGATATTGGTGGACGGCCTAGACCCAGAAACAGAAACAGAGATGGGAAGGGAGGAGTTGGAGATAGATCTTGTAGAAGTGAGGGCAGGGTGGAAATTCGAAGTGAAATTGATGAACTGGTGTAAGCTCTCACAGGAACACGCCCATTTCTTGTTACGAGGCTGTGTGCAGCTTAGGGTGGTGTTGATGGATTGTGAAGGCCATTCTAGCGCAATTGGTTTGCAACTTAGCCCTGGCAACTAGCAGGGGGAAAACTGGACATCACGATCAGTTTGTATTTCAACAGTTGCTTCTGCTGCTACAATTGCCAAAAAATCACAGGCCTAAAGTAGGGTTTACCTGCAACCATGGGCAATCCATTCGCAGGCAATTAGAAACCTAAAACGTGCCCAGTTCTCACCTGGCATTGCAGTGTGCTCTTCTGACCCTACGTTCCTGCTGCGGCAGAAGGGAAATAATTCAACCCGTTCGAATGAGCTCACAACTTTAACCGAGAAATTGGCAACGAGATGAAAGCAGGGGAGCCCGCTGTAAAACTCAAATTGCTTTTTGTTCAGGAACCGAACGAGAAATCTCCCGAACCCATGGCAGCTTAACGTCTGAATCTAAAGGTGAGGTCAGGATGCCTTGCCCCGGGTTCAGGCGATGGGGTCAGATTGCCAGTCTGTTGTGAAGCATCAAATCCATGCCCGTTCTTTCAATCCCAGCCTGAACAGGGCATAAGCATGGGCAAAAATAAAATGTAATGGTGTCACAGCTGCTGTGTAGACACTCCTTTGGCAATTCAATGACTTCACCTTGGCTGTTAGCTGTGCGGTTCAGCTGCTGTGTTTACGCTGTGAGCAGATTTGGGGTCAGAACTAGAATTAGCAGTTGGATCTCTTGAAGGGAACCACCAGGCAAACAAGCATTGCCAGGATCGCAGCAAGAGTCATTCAGCCTTGTTGTTTTTTAATCAACAGGAGAGGAATTAGGTTCATTTTCACGTGTACTCAAGTACATGGATACAGGTGTACATTGAAAGTGTACAATGTCGCCGTTCCTGGCGCCATCTTAGGCACAAGGTACCTAGGTACAAAATCTTAAGTTAAAATGTAGAAAAATAAAGCAATAAGTTCAAAGTTCACCATTACGGTTCTTCTCAGTATAGAGTATTAAATAAGAAATAAAGTTAAGGATCCAATTACAGTCCTTCTTTAGCCACAGCAATGGACAACTTAACAATGTTATCCTGATTTGCTTTTCTCACGAGCTGTGGGAGTCGCTGTCTGGGCCAGCATTTATTGCCCATCCCTAATTGCCCAGAGGGCAGTTCTGAGTCAATCACATTGCTGTGGGCCTGGAGTCACATGTAGGTCAGACCAGGTAATGATGGAGTTTCCCTCCCGAAAGGACATTAGTGAACAAGATTTTTTTGCCCTACAAGCGACAATGGATTCATGGTTATCAATTGACTCTTAATTCCACATTTGCAGTGAATTCAAATTTGATCCCAGGATTGGAACCTGGGTCCCCAGAACATTATCTGGGTCTTCGGATTAACAGTGCAGCGATAATACCACTAGCTCCAGTCAGATCTCTCCTCTGCTCACCAGTTCCTTTTCCTCTCTTTATTTTTCTCTCTCCCTCTTCCCTGTGCAGTATTACACTAACCCCCATCCCTTAACTATTTTTAACTTCAACTATTTAACTCTAACCTGAAGAAAGATGTCAACTCTGGTGGCTGGGTGGGAGCGGAGCGTGTGGGCTGGAGCAATATTGGGAAATCAGACGTGGGTCAGAGTGAGTCCCAGAGGGGAGGCTGAGTAAATTGGACATGGGTCAGAGCGAGTCCCAAAGCCGGGGGGGCTGAGTAAATTGGACATGGGTCAGAGCGAGTCCCAGAGGGGGGGCTGAGTAAATTGGACATGGGTCAGAGCGAGTCCCAGAGGGGAGGCTGAGTAAATTGGACATGGGTCAGAGCGAGTCCCAGAGGGGAGGCTGAGTAAATTGGACATGGGTCAGAGCGAGTCCCAGAGGAGGGGGCTGAGTAAATTGGACATGGGTCAGAGCGAGTCCCAAAGGGGGGGTACTGAGTAAATTGGACATGAGTCAGAGTGAGTCCCGTTGAGGGGGCGCTGAGACCCGGAGGAGCGGAGAAACCGTGTACCCAGGGCATTGTGAGGTCCCAATCCTGGAGTGAGGGGTGGCCGAGAGAGCCTTTTGGTGGGGTGTTGGATTCAATGGGCTCTATTGGTGGTATAGCAGGGAAGAAGGAAACTTGGACTCTCTTTATTTTTCTTTATTTGATTCTGTGAATGGCGCTTATTTACGAGCGACGGTGCACATTTTTCAATGCTTTTTATTTTGAATATAAGTGATGATAAAATGTACTCAATATTCATCACCTCCCCTTAAGAATATGGAATGCTTCAGGAATCTGTGTGTCATCCTTACACAGAGGCCATGCTAATCTTTGCTGTGTTATTCCGAGTTTAGTAGAAGTGTTGCCCTTGAGAAGATGGTGGTGAGCTGCCTTCTTGAAATTCTTAAGTCCTTGCAATATAAAGGGTTCTCACAGTGATATATAATTAGAACAACTATCATTACAATACTGGCTGGGGTTAAGCCTCCACATAGAAAGATGGTTATGGGGGTCAGTCATCTCAGCTCCAGGATATCTCTGCAGGAGTTCCTCAGGGTGGTGTCCTAGGCCCAACCATCTTCAGCTGCTTCACCAATGACCTTCCCTCCATCATAAGGTCAGAAGGGGGTATGTTTGCCAATGATTGCACAAAGTTCAGCACCATTCGTGACTCCTCAGATACTGAATCAGTTCATATTCAAATACAACAAAATGTGAACAATGTCCAGGCTTGGGCCGGAGTGACAAGTAATATTTGTACCACAAAAAAGGCAGGCAAATGATCATTTCCAATAAGAGACAATTACCACCCCTTGATATTCAATGGTGTTACCATCACTGAATCCCCCACTATCAACATCCTGGACGTTATCATTGACAAGCAACTCAACTGGACTCATCACATAAACACAGTGACTACAAGAGCAGGTCAGAAGCTGGGAATCCTGCAGCAAGTAACTCACCTCCTGACTCCCCAAAGCCTATCCACCATCTACAAGGCACAAGTCAGGAGTGTGATGGAATACTCCCCACTTGCCTGGATGAGTGCAGCTCTAACAACACTCAAGAAGCTTGACACCATCCAGGACAAAGCAACCCCCACTTGATTGGCACCACATCTACAAGCATCCATTCCCTCCACCTCTGATGCCCTGTAGCAGCAGTGTGTACGATCCAAACAGATGCACTGCAGAAATTCACCAAAGATGCTTAGACAGCCCCTTCCAAACCCACGACCACTTCCATCTCGAGGGACAAGGGCAGCAAATACATGGGAACACCACCACCTGCAAGTTTCCTTCTAAACCGCTCTTCATTCTGACTTGGAAATATATCGTCGTTCCTTCAGCGTTGCAGGGTCAAAATCCTGGAACTCTGATTCCATGGATAGTAGGAACTGCAGATGCTGGAGAATCTGAGATAACAAGGTGTAGAGCTGGATGAACACAGCAGGCCAAGCATCAGCCTTCCTGCTCCTCTGATGCTGCTTGGCCTGCTGTGTTCATCCAGCTCTACACCTTGTTAACTCTGATTCCACAACTGGATTTAGAGCAACTACTGAAAGGGTGGCCTGTAGGGTACAAGGCCTATATAATTGATCAGAACTCCATAGATGGTGCTCTCGTTTGTACACCCACACACCTCCAGCTGAATTGTGGATCAAACAATGGAGCCCCAGTACCAGAGTAAATTCGTGGATGTGCAGAATTAACTGCTAATTAAACACTTCACTGCACCTCTGCTATACTGTATATATCTGGGGAGGCCATGGCCTAGTGGTATTCTCACTGGGTTGAGAACTATCACTGAGACCCAGAAAATGTTCCAGGGACCTGGGTTCAAATCCCGCCATGGCAGATGGTAGAATTTGAGTTCAATAAAATACCTGGAATTAAGAGTCCAATGATGACCGTGAATCCATTGTTGATTGTCAGCAAAACCCATCTGGTTCACTAATGCCCTTAAGGGAAGGAAACTGCCATCCTTACCTGGTCTGGCCTACATGTGACACCAGACCCACAGCAATGTGGTTGACTCTTAACTGTCTTCTGAGCAATTAGGGATGGGCAATAAATGCTGCTTAGCCAGCAATGTCCACATCCCATTATTGAAAAAAAAGTATGGTTTTGAGAGGGTAACCACAGGTCAAGACAAACAGCCTGATAACATTGATGATGTAGGCTGCTGTTTGGCAACAAGGCCAGAGAGGGAGTGAGTTACCTCTACCTCTACACATGAGGGCAACCCTGCCAAGATGGTACCCTTCTTTTTCTCTTCCTCTGGCCCCTCCAACCCACTTGTCTCCCCATTGCAAGAGCCTCTCCCAGTTGTTCCCACTCAATATCTGCTGTCATCTGCTTTTAGTTGAATGTACTTTGGTGGTGAGGCAGAGAGCAAGATGCTGGTTTTGCGAAATGAACCAGAGGAATGGAGTGACTCATAGAGTCAGAGAGATGTGCAGCGCAGAAACTGACCCTTCAGTCCAACTCGTCCATGCTGTCCAGACATCTGAAATTCATTCAGTCTCATTTGCCAGCATTTAGCCCAGATCGCTCTAAAACCCTTCCTTTTCATATACCCTTCCAGATACATTTTGAATGTTGTAATTGTACCTATCTCCACCACTTTCTCTGGTAGCTCATTCCTGCTTATTCCATACATGCAATGCCCTCTGCATGAAAAAGTTGCCCCTCAGGTCCCTTTTAAACCTTTCATCTCTCACCTTAAGCCTATGCCCTTTAGTTTTGTACTCTTTTCCCCTGGGAAAAAGATCTTGATGATTCACCTTATTCATGCCCAGCATGATTTTATAAATCTCTATAAGGTCACACTTCAGCCTCTGATGCTCCAGGGAAAATAGCCCCAGCCTATTCAGTCTCTCCCTGTAGCTCAAACACTCCAACCCTGCAAACATCCTTGTAAATCTTTTCTGAACCCTTTCAAGCTTAACAACATCTTTCCTATAGCAGGGAGACTGGAACTGAACACAATATTCTTCACCAATGTCCAGTACCGCTGCAACATGACCTCCCAACTCCTGGAATGAAGGCACTGTCCAATAAAAGCCTTCTTTATTATACCAAATGCCTTCTTCACCACCTTATCTACCTGTGACTCTGCTTTCAAGGGACTATGAACTGCACCCCAAAGTCTCTCTGTTCAGCAACAGTCCCCAGGACCTTACCATTAACTGTGTAAGTCCTGCTCTGATTTATCTTTCCAAAACGAACTCCTTACAATTATTGAAATTAAATGCCATGTGCCACTCCTTGGCCCATTGGCCCATCTGATCAAAGTCCCTGAGAAAGCAAATTATGAACTTTTGCGTTCTGAGGAAGGGTCAATTGACCCAGAACGTTAGCTCTGATTTCCCTGCACAGATGCTGCCAGATCTGCTGAGCTTTTTCCAGCAATTTCTGTTTCTGTTTCTGATTTACAGCATCCACAGTTATTTCGGCTTTTATGAACGATTGTGTTGAGTGGGCACATGTAGCGTTCTGTGCATTAACAATGATACCAGACATTGGCTTTCCGGTCTGTCACACTGAGCAACATCCCAAGAGAAAGACAATGAGGATCACTCCAAAAGAGTCACAATTTACTAACACATATATAACTAAAGGGACGGAGGCTGGGGCTGAGGTGAGTTAGAAGATTGCAATCAATATATTGACTGGGGGAGCAAATGGTGAACAAAATAAATTGCTCCGAATCTTGACTTCTATTGAGGAGTTTACATGTCACCCTTTCACCCCCCATGCCAATAAATTAAATGGAATAAGTGCCTAAATGATGCAGGCAATTCTTTGCATGTTAGTGGCTGGAAATAAGTTTTGATAACTAGCTGGAAGTGGAATGGAAGGCCATGGTGATAAAATACCATGAGCTGCTATGATAACAGATCTGCCAGGCAAACCTGCCAAGGATGTGATAACCACAGCTTGACGACCCATCGCCTTCCTAGTGTCTGATTCACCTTTCGAGAAAGAAACCCACATTTGCACAGTGGGTAGCTAACTGGTTTGAGTTGATGAGAGAGTTGCAGATCACAGACAATGGAGTTTAGGTGAGCTGACAGCGTTTTCCCCTCTCTGAGTTTGCAGCAACACATTTCTCACGCTCTTCAGAATGGTTAAGTAGCTGTAAAAGGTTCTGTTTTGCCTGAATGCCAATGCACGCTGCGGGTTTTGTTTTGTGCATTTTATATTTCAAGGTCTAAAATGTTCAGGGTTATCATCTTTCCAGATAGGGACTGAATGGTGAAAGGATAATATTAAGAAAAAAATTCACAGCTGGGAAATGGAATTTCCACGCAATTCATGCTGCATTGCATTCGCATTCATATCAAATCGAGTGATAAGCAAACATTTTCTGTTTTAAAATAAACAGAATGTGCCAATGATTTAGGTATTTGGGATCGCTATTGATGGGGATTAGCCCCTCCAAACTCCAAAACAAGCTTCTGCTTAATGCTCACAACATGCTTTCATGATCTAAATCTCAGAGTTTATTTATTAGTTCCTCCATTGACAGTGACACTCTTCATCCAGGATGTGTCTCCTTAATGAAAGTAGCAACTTATTGTGATTGAGACATCATCAGCAGCTATTTTGTTTTGGCAAACAGCGTTTAATGCACTGCTGAAGATGATCCCAAAATTGTACGTTTTCTTTGATTTTGCTTTCCCCCTCAACAGAGTTGAAAAATAACAAAGAAATCATCAGGTTAACTGCAGCTAAAATTGCAGGATTGCTCTGCTCAGAGCAAAGAAGGCTTTAATCAAAGGAGAAAGACAAAGATTGAGTCTTGACAGGCCAATCCACTTAAACCCAGCAATGGGCAAAATATTCTGAGGGACAAGATAAATCACCATTTAGAAATCCACAGATTAATCAAGGAGATGCAACATAGAGCTGTTAAATGAAGGTCACATCTGACTAACTTTATTGCACTTTTAAAGGAGGTAACCAACAGGGTCAGTGAGGGCATTGCATTTTAGTGCTTTATTTCAGTGATTGATTTTTTGACAAGGGATTTGCAGTTGTTTTAGTGACAGGAAACAATGTGTCATGGCAAACTGGTGTGTTTCAGACTACAAGGCTGGATTCTGTGAGATACAGTGCAGGTTCCTTTGCTGCATGAGACCTATACCAATGGTTCAGACTGAAGAGACAAAGGGGAATGATTAATAGATTCGCAGGCATCACAAAATAGTTAGCTGTATGTTTGATGGTGAGGAAGGAACGTGGAGACTGCAGGAAGACATCAATGGAATGGTCAGGTGAGCAGTGAAGAGACAATTGGAATTTGATCCAGAAACGCGCAAGGTCATGTAAAGGCGAAATAAGGAAATGCACAATTAATGACTGAATACTGT